TAGCTGAAGCTGATGAAAGACATCTGTTCATTTAGGGGGTTTGAAAGTAATTCTGAGGTTTCATAAGGGGTACAGCGAGCACGACTGCAAAGTAGATCCCAGTTTACTACCCTCTGAGTTAGCAGGCCAAGGTAGGAAGGGAAAAGTGAAAACTCACAGCAGTCACATCTGTAATTCCAGGTCCCAGTTTAGCAAACCATGAAGGCATGAGCATCCCTTCTGTCCGAGACCCCAGTGAACACTTCAAATAAAATTACAGGGCTGCTTGAAAGGTTTGCAAGGCCTGAGTCCATATAAACAGAACTCAGTTCCTTCTGCAGCTGTTATCACAGCACTAGTGCTGAAACATGGGTGCAGGGTGATCACTAGCAGTCTGGTGCCTTAAAGGCCCTAACTGCTCTAAGACCTGTTAGATCTTTAAAAAACAAACAGCTCTTCAATCAAGAAGACAACTTGATCATTTGAAATTTTAGTTTTTTTTCCAGTTTTTATTGAGTGAAAATGTCAAACCTTGCATCAGTCATGCAAAAAAAAATCAAATAAATAAAACACATATATTAAATTTCTAATAGCACTAAATTCAAGTGGAAAAATATTCAGTTCTTAATAACGCAGGTGCTGAAGAGACCAGATTCAAGTAAATCAGAGCACACCATCCTGTTTAGGGTGTTTTTTTTTTTCACTTTCTGCATTTTTGTCTCAAAACCTATATATATATCTATATATCTATATATATGTATATACATATAGATATATACACACACACATATATATGTGTATACATATTATTTTTATATTTATATATATACACATACATATTTATAAAACATTAAAAAGAGCATTGGTGGTTCAAGCATTTATTTCCCCCCCTCCCCCACAGAAAGAAAAAATAAAACAACAACAAAACAAAAAAATTACACATTTAAAATTCAAAATGAGCTAGCAATGGCTTATAGTCCTAGTGTGCAATATGGATATTACAAAAGGCTAGAATTCTCCCTCTTTGTATTTTTTTGTTTTTTTTTTTTGTTTTTTTTTTTTGCTACATTGGAAAAAAAAAAATCTTTTTACAAAATTCCTTCCACACGGACTTTAATCCAGTTGAGTTTGTGGCTAGAATGAACAATCTAGTCAATATATTTTCTTTTCTTTTTTTGCTCTTCAGTAGTGAATGGTAGCAGAATCAGGAGGGTCCATCTCAAGGTTCATGTTGTTTGTTTTTTGTTTTGGACAGAATAGTTCCATTTCCTCTCTCCTCTTTCCCCCTCCCAATAGAGTTGGTTGAATCTCTCTCTCTCTGGTCCTCACTTTAGTAGCACTCTTCTAAGCATGTTTTCCAACAGTATTAACAGTCCCGTTGATATGGTAGCTTGAAGTGGGGAGGGGGGGAACCCCACCTCACGGAAGTAGGGATCTGTGCTGTCGGGCTTTTGTTCAGAAAAGCACTTAAGCAGGGGCTTGAATCTATGCCTATTCAGAAAGCATGTGCTTAAGCGTTTTGCTGAATTAAAGCCTTAACAGGGCAGAATACAAAAGATGGGTTTAACTTTCTTGACTTTGTTGTTGTTGTTGTTGTTGTTGCAAATGTAGACATAGTGAGAGATTTACAGAAACAGAGAAGCAGCAGCACCCCTACGGCTAGGGCCAGCCACCTGGAAGGACAGAGCAGCCACAGTCCTGTGAGGGTACCTCACCTTTTGTGGGGTTCAGGCCCTGCTTAGGGGTTGAACTGGGCTGTAGCCTGCTGGGAAAGAAATCCCTTCTCTGTGCCAGCTCCTGAAGAAGTACTAAAGGTTTGGGAGAAAGGCTGAGAAGTTTTAGGGAGAAGTAGGGTGCCTTGGGGGAGAAAATGGTGTGCATAGATAGATAAACACAGGCCCCTCTGGCACAGTCAGTCACAGAAGGGCGAGTGAAACAGGGCCCTGTTTCAGCACAGGTCCCAGGGCCGCTGCACTGGCCCCACCTGCCCGAGGCCGCCTCTGGGATGATGTAACATGCCCAGCGCCAAGCAAAGTGGGCTGGCATTAGCAGAGCTACAAGGTCGATTTTTTTTTCATTATTTTTACCCCTTTCCTCCACACACTTTTGACTTTTCCCCACCATCATGCAAAGGTTCAGTCAGCAGATTCTGAGATATGAATGGGGAGGGGGAGAAAATACTATGTCATGGTGTTGGTTCCCAGCTCAAATCAGATGATCCTGAACAGGCCACAGCCGGCCTGTTCTGAATACAAGCAAGTGGCTGAAATGAGCTCCCCATCTTGCCACTC